TTGGCCATCCTTTGCCAGTGGCTGGCTCCACCCAAGCGAGAAAGGCGAGGACTTTGCTCAGAGAGGGCAGCCCCTGGCTCCGTGCCAGAACCCCATACCCGTATCTTTGTCCTCCATCCCCACTCCTTGGGGACACCCCACCCTGCACCAGCAGCCCCAGCACCTACCTGTGACATACACATCATTGTTCAGAGCCACCAAGGAAAAGCCCCATTTGTTGTAATCAGGGAAGTCGGGCAGTGCCATCCATTGCCCTGAAACCCAGCAGAGAAAGGAACGATGCTTTCAAGCCAGCCCTGTTTCACTCTTCCCTCCCCCCCCAGCGCCCAGTGCCCCTCCTGACACCAGATTGTTTGGCAAGAGGTGGCTTTGGGGTAAACAGAGAATTAAACGACATGTGGGGGCGCGGAGGGTGTGGACTTACCCTCCCCCTGCTGTGGGCACTTACTGCTTTTGGGGTTGTAGAAGGCAAAGTTCCTGGGTGTAGCCGGCATCTCGAGCTCCCCCGCCTCATCCTCGCTCTCCTCCAGCATACGGCCACCAACCACCACCAGCACCTCCTCCAGCTTTGGTGGTGGGATTTTGGGGTTCTTCCAGGCACCAGCACTGCTCTGACCCTGACGGAGAGGCAGAGACAAGACTTTCAGGCTCTGTGCTGAGTCTCAACGCCCCAGCCTGGGGGCAGGAGGTACCCACCGTGGCACAGGACCGAGCCACAAGAGCCTTGCTAGCATCTGAGTCACGGACAAGGGGCTCGGTGGCAAGCAGGTTCTGCAGGTACTGGTCAGGCAGTGAGACGAGGTGGGCCAGCTCCAGCAGCTCAGGCAGGAACTGGGCTCGGGGCCCTGGGTCATGGCGTACCCAGCGCAGCACAGCCTCAGCCAGGCTCTGTTCCTCCTGCACCTGCAGCTGGTCATTGGAGAGGTAGACAGCCAACCTCTCCTTAGAGAGCTGGAGGAACTCCTCCTGCTGAGAAACAGCTTCAAAGTTCTCCTGCAAGAAAGACCAGGCCTTGGAGGACACCTCGGGGCAGCCATGGCTCTCACCAAACTCGCAGATACCTAGGCAGTTGGTGGCATCCATCTGCTGCCGGAGGTAGCGGCTGCAGACCTTCTGGATAGTGGGGAAGTGGAGCTGGCTGGAGGTCTGCATCAGCCCCTCCACATTGTCCTGGTTGATGGTGACTTTCCCTGTGTAGGCGAAGTCGAGCAGCATCTCCAGCACATCAGGGTCCACCTCCTTCAGCTCCACCCGTGCTGCGATGCTCTCAGCAAAGTCACCGGAGAACATGGCATGGAAGTAGTGGCTGCAGAGGGCCAGGACGCTCCGGTGGCAGGGGAACTCCCGCCCGCCCGCCACCAGCGTCACGTCTGCCAGCTTGGGGTTGGCACGCAGCCGCTGCAGGCCCTCCC